TGGTAGTACGGGAAATTTGACTTTGATCCAAAACTGAATGCCACTTCTATGGGGTGACAGCATGGCCTTTACAGAATTTTGTATGAAAAACAATTCATAAGAAGAAAAGAGTTTTGCACACTGAATACAGGTCTGGAAAAACACCGACTGCCTCACTAATGCCTGAAGCTGAGAAGCCATGAAGCAGGTTGTACAGTCAGGAACTTTAAGGTCCACAAATGCCAGCTACTCGCAGGTACCAAGGCACCGTGTAGAATGAGCCATGAAGGTTGGAACCCCTTACATTTTATATCTTCATTTCATGGTTCCAGTGCCTCTATAAATCGACCCTAAAATGTATGAAACACGCATATATTAATACCTTCATACCATCAGATTTTTTTCAAGCACGCACTTACTGATCTATGAAATGACTTTATGTCAGTGTAATTGGACGGGTGACATTTTTGTGGCTGGCTCTGTCTGTGCATTAATAAGTTTTCAAGCTGTGTTATGTAAGCGGTTAGGAATTTTTAAATAAAAATTTTAAATGACATGAATTTAAAGATTAACTCTGTCATTCCCTGCTGTAGCCTGTATGGGAATGGGTCATGTTAAAATGATCTCAGCAGGTGGACATAGCAGACAGTATGATTACTGTGATACAGGTGGTACTGTGGGGCGCCCTGTAGCTCTGTGGCTGTCATCAGAAGCTTGTCGGTTTAAAGCCCAGGATTGGCAGGGTGACATCACCCTCATTCAGTCCAGGGATGGCCTGACCCTGCTTTCTCAAAATAGTGTACATCGCTTTGGACAAAAGAATCTACTAAATAAAAAAAATGCAAATAGTTCTCAGTGTCACACTTCCTGTGTACACAGAACTTTAATATTTATGCGTTTATCACAAACGAACAGTAACAGCCTAGTGGTCACCAGTTCAGTACTTGACCACTATGCCACCTGCTGTGTCATTTTATTAAAGCGGGCATTAATCTGTCAGCTGCGGCTTAAAAGGTTGAAGCAGCCGTGCAAAACAGATGTAGCGAAATAAAACAAACCAGTTTAACTAAAAAAACAAAAAACAAAACAGTTTTTTTATATTATCACCAGCACGGGGGATGACACCTAGCTAAACAAACAGCATATACAAACAGACACGGCCACGCGTAGTGGCACATTCATCAAATATAATTGCATACAGTGGGAAGCGGTCATGCTGGCAGAGAAGCATCAGGGACAGAAAATGGGGGAAATGATAGATATGAGCAATTAACAGCGAAGGATGCAGTGAGAGTGGCTCATGTTTTAGCCGCCGTGCCAGAAGGAACAGGAAGAAAATGAAAGACTATTCAGAGATGGGACCTTCTGACCCACCTGGCTGAGTCTTGGGGCTACAGGCAGCTCCGGGCCGCACCACCATCTATCTCCCCCAAACAGCTGTCTCCCCTGGCCAGCTTACTCCCCCCTGCCCTCCTACATACTCCCCCATTCAGCATAATGGTTCGAGCGGAGCCCCACCCCCCGGATACAGTAACCAGGTGCTCTCTGTCTCCGAACATCCCTCCCTGAGCCCGGATCGTGCCAACGTGTGTTTGTGGGGGGGTGGGGGAGCCTGATGGGCACTCGACCCCTCCGCCAAATCATGCGTTCGGGGTAGGGGGGCATAGGGGTGACTGAGGGCTGTCTGGCTGGAAAAGTCCTCGTAACGAGGGCAGGACCTGCAGCTGGCAGCGCCAAACAGCAGGGCACCGTGGCCTCTCATCAGCCCCCGCAGACCCGCGGCAAACGAACGACGCCGACTCGCACAGCGCCAATTTCACACCTCGCTGCCCTCCCAGGCACCTTTGTAGGCTTTTAACGAGCGGCAATTTAAACAGGTGCCACCTCGTTATCGTCTGACTGAGACCTGGCATCCAAGCGACCCTTCGAAGGATTAATCCCTCATTAAGCTGCACGTCTGCTAATTTAGATCGTAATGTGCTTTTGTTTACTGGGTGGTCGGCGTTTATGGACTTGCGCGGTGGGGGGGCACATACTTTGGCTCTGACCTTCGTCTGAAATCAAGAGTGTTAGGGAACGTGTCTAAGAATACAGTGCGGTGTCTTGCCCCTTTGAAAAAGAACCCTGGGTGTTTCTTTGAGCCCCCGGTTTGGGTTCTTGTTGACCCGTCCGCTACGGCGGTGTCAGCTTTCGCTTACTTCAGGTTCCGCTGTGTTGTTCCGTAACGCAGGACGGACTGCATCACCGCTGTCATAATAACACTGCGCCTATGTATTTAACATAACCGGCAATAAAAACGAAGACAGCTCATCACTTCAACAGTTCTTTCCCATGTGTGGTGACCCGTATTGAACAGAAGTTGTTACCGATTTGATAATATTATGTATGCATATTTTGCACAATTTGCACACTATAACATGACTGTCTTTTCTGTTAATGGCCTATCATTTGTGTGTGTTTTGTTGTAAATATGTTTTTCATTTTTATGAAACGTCTATTTTTACATGTGGTGAATGAAGCGTCTGACCGCAGACCAGAAGCAATGTGTCGGACATGGTGACTGGCCTTGATGAAATAAAGTGATCCGGATTCTGATTAAAACACTTGCTTCCTGGAATCTGGCCTGGAATTTTATCGCCGTCCTTGTAATTCATCACCCACAAGTGTAAATCCCGGAATGATTGACAGTCTTGCAGCAGCCCAGGTGCATCGACAGAGTTCGTCCCAATGCTTTCGGGTGTTGGGGCAGGCAGTGGGGAGGGGCTTCTGGCGGCTGTGTGGGCGGAAGCGGGGGCGGGGGGGCTTGGTGTGTTTTTACAATCCCAGCAGGGTGCTCGTCCCCCTATACTCCACGGTGTTCTCTGCAAACTGCCTGTAAGTGGGTTATAACTCTTATTTTACACGTCCTAATTCTCATTATACTGATGGGCTTCATTTGCATTTCACAGAGTAACACCCAAAGGGGCCTCATCAATTTGCATTATGTGATATTATCGACAGCTATATACAAATGAAATTTAACTGCCTAATTATACAAATTAGGCTGTTATGAAGCCTCCTATTATGTTTGAATGTAATGGTCTTTCAGAGACACTGAACAGATTCTGGTTGTTTCTCAAAAGAAAAAAACCATAGTTGAAAGCAACGTTAATTAACAACAACTATTTAGTGGAATTAGTGAAAGTCTTATTAGACTTTATCCTGCTTTTACCTCTTATGTCTTTTCAGCTCACAGACTTGTAAAGGGGCATGTTTGTCCCGACCAATGAATGACAGCAAGATGAATTATTATCAAAATGTCATTGGAGGAAGGTTACTGCTGTGCTGCTCACAGACACACGCATCCCCAGTAGTGCTAATTAGTGTTTATATTTCACTAGCAGTGTGACCTCCAGAAAGTGAGTAAATAATACCTGTGACTTCCACGTTAGGTCATACCAGCCGTAAGAAGCTTTGTCTTGTGAAACACAACTTTTCATCCAGTGAACCGCTGGACTTTAACACGTTCGATAAAGTTCAAGATAAAATATTGGTACCGCTTTACAATAAGAATGAAGTGATCAAGTTGTAACCAGCTGAGGACTCTGTGATTTCTACTGTCTGGACCTGAACTATCCATCTCTGGTTATAACAGTTTTTTTTTTTAATTAATGAGCTATTACCATTTATAAGTGGCAGAAGGGACCCTTATTGTAAAATGGTGCCAAAACATTTTTTGATTTTTTTTCCAGCTATGCAGAATGTGGATGGACGTCCGTTACTGTAGATCCAAAGATTTATATGAGTATCTGGGAAAATCTCTCCAAATCCTTTTGTGACTATTGTACATTTGCTTTCAGCAAAACGGATATCTCAAGTAATCTTCTCCATCAATCTGTCAGTACTAGTGAGTCTTCTGTGAAATGGGGAGTGGTCCAGGGCAGCGTTTCTGAGCCCGGTCCTCGGCGACCCCCCCCAGACACTCCACATATTCGCTCCCTCCCAACCCCCCCAACACACTTGTCCCCGGCATTCAGGGTCCCCCATCGCTTGATCGGTTCAAGCGTACTAGGAGCTGGGAGGGGCTAAAACGCAGACTGTTAGAGGGTCCCTAAGGACCCCCCCCAGCTCAGTGAGGTTCATCTTTAACCTTAATAGCTGAAAGATTTTAGAGGTTGGTGGTCAGTCACTCTCCCATTAAACTGGTTTGTTTCAGACACAAGGCCAGGTAGTGCAAAAAATATCAAATAAAATAACAAAATAATCCCCACCTCTCTCCCCCCTCCTGGAATTAGACTGAAGGGCAGCAGGTGTGCAGGTGTACTCCTTATTAGGAAACGATGTATCATGTTTGCAGAGATAAACCTGCTAACTGAATCGTCTCCTCTGAAGCTTTGTTGCAGTTGTAATGATATGCATATTTTGACATGTTCATAGCAAACTGGAAGTTTTGGAAGTGTTAGTTACTATCAAAAAGGGAAAGTTTTAAGCAAAACATTTCTGAGGCATATTGTGAATATGTGACCACACTGTGGCAGAAAAACATGAAGACAGGTTTCCTGAGGGTTAGCAATAAGTCTTCATAAATCTTTCTGGAACGTTTCCTACCGCTCACTAAATTTATCACATTTCAGAGATCAGTTTCAGGGGTGGCTATTCATAAGCAGTGATGTGAAACTCTTTGTAAAAAAAGAGTCCCCTCAATACTGCCTCTGTAGCTGTTATTGTAGGATACCGATATTAAATCCACATTGTTTACAAGTATACATACACTTTATAGTTTGACGTGAAAATAATGGTCTGTTTTCCCAAGCACTGACAGATTGTAAATGATCAGACTGGGACAGCGAGGATTAGAGTAGTTAATGAATGTACATGTATTTATAACAAAGTACATTGAGTGAGTTATATGAAATAACAGATTGTCACACGGCTGTGTTTGTGCAATCATTTGCATTGTGTTCAACCGTAAGCGACATGACTTATTTTGTGTGTGAATTCATGTTAGGACTGAGCAAATCTTCTCCTCCCTGCTCTTGCAGAGACGCTAATGGACTCCACAACAGCTACGGCGGAGCTCGGATGGACGGTGTACCCTACATCAGGGGTGAGTAAGGTTGACGAGTAGGTGGCGGCCAGTCTAAAGCACTACATGTAGTTTATAATTGGATGCCAAAAGACAAGACATGGTGTACTAACGTATTCCCAACAGAAGTGTAAGGAGAACAGAGCCCTGCTTTGAGTTAGGGTTAATAGCTCTGTTATGCACTTAGATCTAATGTATGTATCCATTTTCTTAATTTTAATTTAGTAGTCTAATGTTTAAGTCTGTACAGGAAGAAGCTACTATATGTAACACCTTTCCTCTAGACAGAATTGTCAGGCTAGATCGATTTTGGTGATTCTCTGATTTCGTATTTGTCAGCCCCAGGAAGTTTTGAATGCAAATGAACCTTCGGTTATTAATAAGTGGAAATCAATTGCAATCTCATTTATTAGTGTTCTGCCTATCATTTTTCATTTGTACAACTGTTTACTACTGTCCAGTATTATAACCAGTTTCATGTTATTTGTTGCTTAAAATATCCCCCCAGTTGCAGCTCCCATTTGCCTAGGATATTTGTATTCCTTTTTTCTTTTTTTTTTTTAACTATTAACATTTTGGCCAGTTTTGTAGTTGGTGTTAGTGGGTGTAAAATGCATGCATAGATTTAATTGGAAGATAAAACTGTTGATGCAGTTTACAGCTTGAGAATCTTGGAGTATTAAAAATGTTAATCATCCAAGCATTTGGCAAACTGCCTGTACTCATTGCTGAAATTTTCTTTGCAGAGACAGAGTGAGAATGTGGGTTTATGTTATACCTAAAGAAGGTGATTGTTTTTGAAATGGTGCTTGCAAAGACACAGACCATGAGCACGAGATTGCACAGACTCACTGGGCAGATGGCTTGACAGTCTTTCTGAAATATAATACGGATTTACATTCTCTTTACCTGCTGGTGTATCATCAGGAAACTGTAAAGATCATTATATATAATTAATGCAGGATACAATAACTGTGGAGTCCTGCTGCAATCGTGAACATGCATGCAAACAAACACACACACACACACACACACACACACACACACACACAGGTTTGTAATTATATCTTTGTGGGGACTCTCCATTCATTTCTATGGGGGAACCTCTAATCCCAACATGATGACCTTAACCCCTACCCAGCCCTAACCTTAACCATAAGTAACCAAACAAAATACAAGACATTGGTCCCCACAATGTCAGAATATCAGATTTTTATTTCATTGTGGGGGACATTTGGTCCCCACAATGTAATATAAACCTAATCCACACACACACACACACACACACACACACACACACACACACTCACACACACACCTTTTCCTCCCTCTGACTAGATTTATCACACGCCTTAAAGCTTTAGAGCACCGTTCCTGGGTTGGCTGTTCATGAACAGGAAGTGTCCTTTCAGTATAATGATCTCCTCATTGTTGGCCCTGTACTGTTTTGACAGGGTAGAGAGAAGCAGAGGCATGTTTTTAAAAGGAAGCTGAGGGTTTGCCCTCATAAGGCCCATGTTCATCGACATGAACACCAATCATACTGCAAATGATGCACTAGTTACTCTTCTCTGCTATTAATAAATTCAGAAGATTAGGCAATCCGGAAACCTCATCCTGCTTTGGCCTTGGTTACTGGGCTCCCAGATACATTTGCTGTATGTCAAATAATTTTATGTTCATGGATGTTCGAATAATTTTGGCTTAGTGTGTCTGGTACAAAATAACGGAAGCAAAAACAGAGTCAGTAAAAATGGTCGGGGCTCGAGGTCGCTTTGGTCCAGGAGCTCAGCAAAGTTGGGCTCCCGGCACCTGGTGATCGCCTTCGCACTAAACGTGCTCTGCGTGAGCCAAAATATGTAATTACACTCCGAAGAGTCGTAGAAGCCTTCAAAATTTTGCACAAAGTGAAATACCAGGTGCTGCTGACGGAGCGGGTTTGCGACGCTCATGTCTGCCGGAGTCTCATGCTCTTCCTCGCGCGCTTCATTTATTCGCTTCAGATCCATCTCTAATTTTCTCATCTTTTTTTGTTAAGCAGTGTGGGGCAGCTATATTGGGAAGAGCGCTGTATAAAATCGTATTTCAATGGTGTGATGCTGGAGGGGGGCAGACTGTGTTTTATTTATATCCCCCTGCTGTGCTATGAGAGCGTAGAAAGCTCTCTGAGGCCGACCACAAAGAGCACGACAGGTCCCCGTAGCCCAAGGACGGAGGCCCGCGTCGGATCTCCCCCGGCTCCCCGAGGCTGGGAATGCAGCAGCTGCTCCGCTGCCCAGTCCCGCCGTCACCCCCGCGGGAGAAGCGCCGAGCCCCGACGAGTTCCCACGACTCGCAGCGGGGGCAGCGTAGCTGCGGCAGACTTACTTTGTTTTTCCCTTTTCCTTTTCTTGTTCATTTGGTCAAATTAGAATCAAAAAGCGTTTAGGAGCCCCTTCCAGGGAAGGAGCGCGGACGCTGTACCGAGCAGAGGGGAGCAAGCTCGGCTCTGAAGCCTTCAAACAAAAAAGAAAATATTTACATTTTTAATAATGTTGAAAATCAACAAGCACAGGGGTGTAGTATTATTATTATTATGACTAACAATCGGCGAGAGAGATTTGTAATTACAAGTTAGTTTTTTTGTCTAATTGTTCGGTGGCATGAGGGTTTTCTGGCTGAAATATTTGTGGAGACAACACAACAGTGGCCTTCTGCTGGGGAACATAAAGCCTGCTACTTTGTCCCTTTGACTCATGAAAAGCTTTCATTGCAGTGATATGTGTTCCTTCCATTTGCGACACTGCAGCCCGCTGTTTGTTTTTTTATTGTGGTTCTGTGTGGTAGAGCTAAACTCTGATTGGAGGAGAAATGCATGTCTTGCTTATTGTAACTCCCGGCACCTGATAGGTTAACACTGGGGTTAAGCCCCGCCCCTCTTTGACAGAAGGGTGTCAATCTTTTTCTGCCTTTGAATTTTGAAGGGCTTTTGATGACGGCAAACAAATTCTAGGTATAGCTTAAAATAGTGGTCTGGCAGTCTGTGAGAAATTCTGAGTTAGAGGTAATGATAGAATAATCCCCAAAAAATTGCAGTTTGCAAGCTACTATGTTCTCCACTCAGAAAATGAGCGTAAGTGTTCGGTGTGATGTTGCGAGTTAGTTGTTCCCTCCACAGTATCTCAAGCCTCTAATGGCTTCGCCGCCAATCAGCTCGACCTTGCACCCCGAACCCCAAGGCCGCCCTCTAATGGCCACTCGAGGAGCCGCGTGCTGATGGCGACGGGGCGGTCTGCGTGCTGGTGGCGACGGGGCGGTCTGCGTGCTGATGGAGACGGGGGGGTCTGCGTACTGATGGCGACGGGTCGGTCTGTGTGCTGATGACGACGGGGTGGTCTGTGTGCTGATGACGACGGGGCGGTCTGCGTGCTGATGACGACGGGGCGGTCTGCATGCATTCCTCGCGCTCATGTCGCCTTCCATCTGGGATGCCCTGGCTGCTTTCTGTCAAAACGGCAGCAGCACACTGATAGGCGTCTCCCATCGACGTGGATGGCTTNGCACTGTGTTTTAATTTAATCTGTCAAATGCGTTTGCCCTCCAGATAGAGGATGCTGCACCTCTTGTCCCTGGCGTCCCATTGTGGCAGTCTTTCTGAAAAGGGAACCTTTCTGCAGGAGCAGATGTGTGACACACACTGGCAGTGACCCCAACTTGTTCATTCATAGTCTCTATTAAGCAGCACGATGCCCCCCCCCCCCCTTAAACTACATCTATTGGTGACAAAGTCTAGTCATTAGCTTTGTATTACATCAAGCAACAGTGTATAACATCATCAATAATTTGTTACTTATTGCATAACAGTGTATAACATCATCAGTAATTTGTTACTTATTGCATAACAGTGTATAACATCGTCAGTAATTTGTTACTGTTTTTATTTGTTTAATATAGCTATTAAAATGTGTTCATTTTTTATAATTCGGCTTATAAGTATAATGTAGAATGTACATGCAGTCGTTGTAGGTTTAATTTGTTAATCTAGTCTTCATTCACAAATTCGTGTTTGATAAAATTACATATGGTCTCTCCTTTATAAGACTTTTTTTTTGCTGCAGATAATTGCTGACCTTTAGTTGATTTAACTGGACAGATTTGCCCAGAAATCATGCTTTTTGCTCATGATTGGCTGCAGAAGATAAGTATAAATATTGCCAGTTGGAAAGACTTATTTTCGTTGCTGTATTTAGGCCTAAAGCCATATTCTTTTTACAAAAAGCTTTTGTCATTTGCCAGGCCTGGTGGAAAAAAATACACACAGGCACATGCACACACACACACACACACACACACACATGGACACACAGACACAGGCACGGACACACACACACACACACACACACACGGACACACACATGGACACACAGACACAGGCACGGACACACACACACACACGGACACACACATGGACACACATGGACAAAGGCACGGACACACACATACACACACACACACGGACACAGGCACACACACACACGGACACAGGCACACACACTCACACACACACACATGGATACAGGCACACACACACACACAGTTTATACATGCAATTTTTTGTTTAATCTCACCACTAATTACGACTGCTGTAACTACTTTCCAGAGCGTTTAATGGCTTTTTAATTCACATACTGTCGCAGCAGTTGTTTCAGAAGCATATCCTCTATGTTCATCACATTCTGCCTAAGCTGCAGCTTTCCTGCAGCCAGAAGTACCAGCAAGCGTCTCAGTTCTTCCCTTATGCCAGTTTCCAGCTATTTGGACGTAGATACCGAAGACAGTGCCGTGCGCCGTCGTTTTGTGTTTCAGTCAAGATGATTTCCCTATTGTACTAAAATGCTGTTGTGTTTTCGTCTCAGCAGGTACCTATGACACTTAAATACCTCCTTTTCCCGTATGTAAATGTCCATTTGTAAGGAGCATGTTTAAAAAGCTCCGTCAGATCTTAGCACCGTGAAAAGACTGCGCCTGCAATCCGCAGGAGCAGGCCAGGTGCTTGCTTAGCAGAGCTCTCACCGACGTTTGTCTGGCCCACAGTGGGAGGAAGTCAGCGGCTACGATGGCAACATGAACACCATCCGTACCTACCAGGTGTGCAACGTCTACGATAGCAGCCAGAACAACTGGGTGCGCACGAAGTACATCCGCCGGCACGGCGCGCTGCGTGTCCACGTGGAGATGAAGTTCTCCGTGCGAGACTGCGGCAGCATCCCTAACGTGCCGGGCTCCTGCAAGGAGACCTTCAACCTCTACTACTACGAGTCGGACGCAGACTCGGCCACCAAGACCTTCCCGGCCTGGATGGAGAATCCCTGGGTTAAGGTGGACACCATCGCGGCCGACGAGAGCTTCTCGCAGGTCGATCTGGGCGGCCGGGTGATGAAGATCAACACAGAAGTGCGCAGTTTCGGGCCCATGTCCCGCCAAGGCTTCTACCTGGCCTTCCAGGACTACGGCGGCTGCATGTCGCTCATCGCCGTGCGCGTCTTCTACCGCAAGTGCCCCCGCGTCATCCAGAACGGGGCGGTGTTCCAGGAGACCCTGTCCGGGGCAGAGAGTACCTCGCTGGAGGTGGCCCGCGGCGTCTGCATAGCCAACAGCGAGGAGGTGGACGTGCCCATCAAGCTGTACTGCAACGGCGATGGCGAGTGGATGGTTCCCATTGGACGCTGCATGTGCAGGGCCGGCCACGAGCCGATGGAGAACGGCACGGTATGCAGAGGTAAGACCGGCTGAGTGTGTGCCTGTTTGTCCACTCTTCCTGTGAGGGCAATGTTAGCCGAGCAGTATGTGCAGTGTCATGGTGACGCTTTGAGGAACCGTATGCATCCGGCTGGGGGATGCGGGAGTGACCAGCCGCCCCAGGTAAGCGCTGGTGATCCTGAGGCCTGCCCGCTTGACAGGTGCTGAAGACGGGCACAGCTGGATGGAGCGGAACCTTCCGGGTGTAATTCTCCAGGCTTTGAGGGATCATGTGAGACACCAGCGTCGGTGTCCCAGTAGCAATGCCACCCTCCCCACAAAACCAATTTCACAGTGACTGATGCAGTACATTGTACAATTAACGTTATAATTACTGCGCTGTCGCTGTCCTCCAGTAGTGACGTCTGAGTTTTCATTCCATTTCAAGTTGCAAAAGAAAGATTGCTTCTTGTCTAATTATAATCACTTCCGAGGACAGCAAACCTCCCCTCGTCCGTGAAGGCCCGTGTGCCTTTTAAACCATAAATTCACCGTTATTAAAAATGACCCTCTCTTTTTTGGAGGTTAAATCCCTGGGGTGCTGCATGTTCAATTTCAGTGTGTTTATATGAGCACAAGTGTCAATTAATTAATCAAACTGTAATTTTAAAAGGCTCACAAATTCATTAGGCTCTGTTGCAGATATTATTCAATATTACATAGAATGCACACTTATCAGAAGGTCCCTGTTTTCAATATCTCGGTTGATCTCACTTGAAGTGAACAGATTATGGAAGTACGAGTTGAGTATTAATTGGTAAATTGCCTGTGGGCTCAGCTGAGATATTTAGATTTTTTTGTATGTTTTCAATTTAATACTGCAGTAAGACTCATATTAAACTGGAGATTTTATTTTTGGCTTCCAGATTTTCTGTGCCAGTTGGTTTCCTTGCCTTACAGCCTCTGCGCTGTTTCGTGTGTTGGGTCTGGCAATACTTCTCATTACCACAAGAAGCAATATAATTTTATTATTATCTAATGATACAATAATAACCCAAACCCAAACGACTTCCATGTGCTTACAGGAACACCAAAGGCAGCATTATAAGGTACATAGTCGCTGTGGTACCACAAAATATGCAAAAGTTTCTGTTTTTTCCCATTGATTTACTTGGTAATAAATAGCTCAATAGGAAACCATGTTCAGTATTTTATTAGATAAAATACTAAAACTTTATAAATCACCTGACAAACATGCTTTCGTTTTCTTCTCCTGAAAAGTGAAGCCTTGACTTTTTATATTCACGTGCAGTGTAGATGGTGCTGCCCCCCAGCCCCCGCCCCCCCCCACGCTCCCGAGGAGGGGCTCGGACTCCTTTCCCTATGGGGAATTTGCGTGTTCATTGTGTCACATGGGTTTTCACATTCAATTCAGTTCAATTAAATTCTATTTGTATTGTGCGTCTTCACAATATTACATCATCTCAAAGTGCTTTACGTTATCCCTGCCCAAAGCCCCCAGTGAGCAAGCCAGAGGGGACAGTGGCAGAACGCCCTAGAAGGAAGAAATCTTGGGGGGTTCCAGACCCAAAGGGGGAGCCCATCCTCCAGGGGCCGGCAGAGGAAGTCAAATGAACAAGATGGCAAAGTCCTAATTTACACAGTCCAGATTTGAAGGTCTGAATGGGATTCCAGTTTTTATCTGCAGTCCAAGACATGCAGTTAGGTGAATAGATATGTCTAAACGCTTCATTCTTAGATAATTTGATGTTTTTTTGTTTAGTTTTTTTTCTTGCGTAAAATTCCTATTCAGTCAATAAACAGTTTGGAATTCATTATGTAAAGGCTTTCTGTTTGGAGATAATTAGTGAATATGAATAGAAGTTGCTGATTATCTTTCGTAATCTCAAAAGTTTGGGACACTATTGGAGTAAGTTTTATTTAAGATCCTTTTCCAGGTCTAATGAAAAAAAGTTCTAAGTTGTGTTTAATTTATTGCTAATTTACCACTAGATCAGCATTTGTCCCCACACATGTAATTAGTGTAATGAAATGTTTGTCTCTTTTTGTGTGAATACAATAACATATCAATAAGCAGTTTTTCTGAATATAATCATGAAATCCTTAAGGGGACCGCCGTCCTGTCCAGGGCGTCCTCCGCGTTCTGTTCGCTCCAGGCTCCTCTGATACAGTAAATGCTTATGGATGTTGGAGGGATGGATGGGTGGATTATTATGGGATTTCGAAAGACATTCATATGTTTTCACGTCTTATAAACTTGGCACTGAAAGTGTTAAACCCCGGCTTGTTCCTCCAGCCTTATGAAACCCAGCTCTCACCTAATGAAAAAAATTTATCTCGCAAAAGAGTCTGATCGGATTATCCCTGCATGTAAATCAACGCATCGGTGGAGATCAATCCTGGTCAATGATTATTTATTGATTTGCATATTTAACATTTTTAAGACTGAAAATTTGTGAGCATAGCTCATGACCCTATAGAGAAGTGGTTTGATGCTGGATAGATGGATGGATGGAATCAATATCAATGGTCCTGTTTTATCCTATTTGGTACTTTTGATTTAACTCATCGGCCACATGTGACTTTCCTGAGAATATGACTCATACTCCAGTGCAGATGGCAGTGAGAATCGTAGCAGTAACAGAATCCCAATGATGATGGATTTACGGATCAGATTTTACACGTCAGGTTAAATCTGTATTGAATGGATTTGTTGTTGTTACTCATGAACGCAACAAAATGGAGATGATGACATTTAGACAGTCACTCAGCCATGTGCTGTGAAGACTGGCAGTACTTCCGCGGAAATGAGCATTACCTCCTTCCTAATGATTTCATTCACTTATATTTTACATCTGTCATGCTTTATCCATTATATTGTCACATCTCTCCACATTGCTAGACACGGAAAGCTGTCTCTGGTATAACTACAAAACCAATTCAATCTAAGATCATTATAATTATACTAAGGACACTGTGCCGAAAATGCAGTTGCAGGTCAGTGAGCAGTAATGTATCTTTGGCTTTGAGTTTCTGAATTTTTTCTGTCCTCTCCAGTGTCTTCATGGGTTTCCTCAGGGTATTTCCGTTTCCTCTAGCAGTCCCAAAAAATATGGCTAGGCAAACGGGTGTGTCTTAATTGCCCATGGTGTGTGTGTGAGTGTGTGCGTGTGTGTGTGTGTGTGTGTCCTTCCTGTGACGGACTGGAAAGACGTCCTGGGCGCCCTCTGCCTTTAGGCCTGTGTATCCAGAGATGGGCTTCCTCAGATGGGCTTCCTCAGATGGGCTTCCAGAGATGGGCTTGCTGAGATGGACTTGCTAAGATATGCTTCCATATATGGGCTTCATGAAATAGGCTTCCTGAGATGGGCTTCCTGAGATAGGCTTCTTTGGATGGGCTTCCAGGTGGGCTTCCTCAGATGGGCTTCATGAAATAGGTGTCCTGAGATGGGCTTCCTGAGATAGGCTTCTTTGGATGGGCTTCCAGGTGGGCTTCCTCAGATGGGCTTCATGAAATAGGTGTCCTGAGATGGGCTTCCTGAGATAGGCTTCTTTGGATGGGCTTCCAGGTGGGCTTCCTCAGATGGGCTTCATGACGTAGGCTTCCAGGCTTGCCCAAGTGCTGGTTTAACGATTATGGAACATTAATGGATGGTTCCACATAAACGCTAATAGAAATTGTTTTCTTCATAGTGTGTTTCCCTGGCCGGAAAAATCATACCACATTGATTGTGTTCCATAACATTTGGTCAGTGTCCAACCGAAGAACTTTGTCTCTATGCTTCAATAAATCTGTGTCTGTGGTAAGTACAGATTAAGGAGTCAAAGCCACCGAGTCTAAGTGTCAATGCAGTACCTGGAATGACTCCTTGCTACCTGGGGTCAGCATCTTGGTGCGACTTGCCAGTTACAATGATTGCACAAGATGTTTCCCAATGTCTTGGCGATGATAAGAGGATGAGGTGCTGTTCCTGAGAGTGGGAGTGCAAACCAGCTGCTTCACTAACGTGTAATTCAACCATCAATCTCCAGCCTGGCACTTTGAATGTACAACAGTCAGCAGGTATCAGGCCAGACATGATTTCAGGGCTGGATCTACCTTTGCAGGGGCCCTAAGCAGGCGAGGGGGGGTTCCTTTTGTAGATTGTGGGTCCCCTTTAGTAGACTTCCCTGATTGTGGGGTGGGGTTCATCCTTAGTACATTTCACCAACCAGGGACTTTGTCTGGTCCCCCTTTTGCCGATCGTACTCTAGGCAGCTGTCCAGTTTGCCTTTGCTTAGATCCAGCCCTCCATGTTTGAATGAAATGAAGTAACTGTCCAGCGTAGTACACAAATGGTTGGGTGCAGTTAGCTGTGAGATTTACAGGCTTGGGTGTGTGAGTTACGGGAGCGCAAGTGGTCAACGGCTGGATTTTGTTTCAATGCGACATCTGTATTCCAAACTGCTGATGCAGAGTGGCAGGGAGTGCAGAGTCTATCCCAAGAGGAGCAGGGGTCGTAGGGGATGGGATGCCCGTCCATTGCATGGCACAGACACCATCAATCACACGGGAAGGAAAAATTCAACCGTTCACCTAAGCGCCTGTTGTTGGGCTGCTGAAGGAAACGCGCACACTCCTGGAGAGTGTGAACTTCGGAGGTGTGAGCAAGCGTGCTACACTCTGCACCACCGACGTAACAAAACCGAAGGAATCAACAATGGCTATGACAATCTGCTGAATTATTTGCAGCATTTTATGCACGGCCCACTCTCTCCAGTCCCCGTGTCTCCTATCTCTGGATGCCCATAAGAACGTGGTGCCCCAAACCACACGTTCAGTCGGTTTCAAAAATCGAGGTCAGCGTCGTCGAGACGCCAAACGGTCCCGTTCATTTTTCGGGAAATGGGGTCGCCTGATAAACGGATGGATTATGCGTGACTCTCGAGCCACGTGCCCCCGTCTGCTCTGCTTCAAACGGAAGATGATAAGAATAGGAAAAGGCACCAGAGATGAGAGAGACTGCAGACGGGGAGACG